ATCATATGAGTCGATTTATAATCTCCTATAAGCCCAATGTATAAAAATTACTATTTGCATAGCATTTGTGTGCTTCATATTAATTCATTATTATATAAAGGAAAAAAACAGATAAACAGTAACAATGGAACAAGAAAATAATTATTGTTATAGAAGGGTGATAAAAGGTGTTGGAAGAATAGACATTACCTGAAGGTGAAGTCATTAGGGAAGAAACTTATGATGCTATTAATACAGTGCCCAAAAGTATCCTGCCCTGAAGAACGAACAATATAAATCTTACACAAGAATCAACAAGTGGAAGTGACAGGGCTAAAGCTGGTAGTTCTATTTTATCTCAGGGCATCATTAGTAATTTATGAGTGGAAACAATATTTCCTTTTCAGTGCTTACATACTGTACTTGCAAGATGCTCTGGGCAAAGACACATGCTGGCATGACTAAACAGGAGATAAATAGAGAGGAGACGCCTACATGTGGTAACAAAGAATCTTAAAGGGAGAACAGTTTAGTGGGAGGGGTATGCTTGCACATAAACAAATTCCAAAAAATGTTCTTGCTGGGAAGGGCCACATGTATTATTACAGAGGAAATAGTAGGGTTGTCTGAGGAAAGACTGAGAACAATCAGGCAAGCGTGGGAGCTGCCAGAGGGAAAACAATGCTGGCTAGGGCTTGTGTACCTATTGCTAAGTTGTTTAGAAAGAATGACTTACAAAGATATTTGTTGCACTGTTGCCCAACGAATTCAAGTAATGACAAGCCTAACATCTTGAAGGGCTGAATCTAGATACATGCTCCTACTAAGCAACATGAAAGATTCTGTAATGTATACGGCCCTTCCTCCCATCCCCAACCTTAGCAAGAAGGAGGAGCCTGATGATAAAGAATTTTAAAATAAGGCTGGTAGAAGAGATTGCCTCACTGGTTTTACATATATTGCTATTGGCGCATGGAACAGAAAGAGAGCATATGTGACAATATGCAGAATAACTAGAGATTTCAGTTGCTGGCAAAATTTGAAGAGATTTCAGAAAATAAATTTTTAGACAAAAATGACCAGTTTTGGAATAGGGAGAAGGGGTTTTGAGTGCCCACAGCAGTTCACTTTGTGCCTAGTCAACTAATGCCAGAAAATTGTGTGAGAAAATACGAAGAGAAATATTGAAGACATTTTGGTCTTTCCTGCTTACATATTTTCTAGTAAGTAATCACTATCACTCTAACACCATCTTTCATCCAAGACCCAGACTGCTTGTAGTCATTGAAGAACAAGGGCCAGCTATTCAGAAGTGCTGAGCACCCTCAGTTCCCAATTACTTCAATGTGAGTGGTGTGTGCTCAGCACTTCTGAAAATCAAGCCACAAAAAATGTGAAACTTGGGTGCCTAAAGTTCCCTTTACACTTTTTTTCTGTAGGAGTAGGGGTGCTACTGCTGACTTTTTGTGATTGATTTCTACTGTTACATTCTGCCTTATAACAAACAGTAAATTCTCCCTATCTAGATTTCGAATTCTTCACTTTATTTTCTAAATAATGGTGTAGTATTGATTAAATACATGTTGTAGGTCATCCAAAAGGTACCTGTATTTCAGTGGTGGGAGAAGGATTCATACTGATTTTAAACTGAACCCCCTAACATGTACTACACTTCTAATTTTCATGAACTAGAGATGAGAAGCAAAGCTGCTACAAAAAGGTTGTGCATTATTATCCAACACAAATGGAAGTGGGTCATTAGACTTACTACCATCTCTTTGAAACTGAATTTATAAGCCTCCTTTTTTTATTTTGTTTTTGGACTGGATGAGACATAATACAAATTGAGGACCTGAATCTGCAATCAGATCCATTTGGGGCAAACCTTTCTACCTGCACAGAGCCCCACTGACTTCTATAGGGCTCTGTGGGGCTTAGGACCCACCCACACAGATCTGATTGCAAGAATTGGGTCTAAATGTTGAAAGCAGAAATTCAGTATAGCAAAAGTCTTTGTTATTAACATAATTTGGGTAAACAATACAGTTGAACTTTGCTAAAATGCCTATTCTAAAACTTCCATACCAAAACTAGCAGTCCCGGTATTGTCTTTCTTCCCAAGGAAGTTTTCATAGACGAATACTAGAGTTAGGTCTCATATTACTAAAACTAACTTTTGAGAAAACACACTAACAGCAATCCTATGAAGTATTATTGTAAGTAAATAAAACCCAACTGCACTTGTCATTTTGCAAAGTGACATCCTTGTTTTGTTCATTTAAATGCTAAATTAAAAAAATCAATTATTTGTCATCTGTCTCCCAGTCATTAGTGTGAATTAGCAAGGCTCTCCTGCATAATTTATTATGTCCACAAATATACGGAAAAAAAAAGAAAAATGACCAGTAGTCTACATTATAATGCATTACCTTCAGTGTCCTGTAGTCACAGGAAATTTGGGTGCTGCTTTAACTGTAAATATGAATTCAGTACAACATATAAGGTACAATATATGTATTTGTATAGCTATGTTATATCTGTGTATATCAACTTTCTTTTCTGATTTTCGTTTATTTCTTGTCATAAATAGCTCTAACTAGAGGAATTACTAATAAGTAGATAAGTGGAAATTTCTGAAATCCATCAGTCGCATAAATTACAGTCAGTAAGTACAGAAATGTCCCAGGTGATAGCAAAAGCATACTGAAATAACTAGACCATGCTCTGAAAAATAAACATGCAAAAAGTGATAGCAAAAAAAAAAGACAGAATGGCTAATTAGCTGAAAGAGGGGGGCATTATTAGGTGTGCAGAGATAGAAATGTGAAATATATATGAAAAGAAAACAAAATATGCACATATGGGGGGAAATCCAGGCCCCACTGAGGTGAATGATGAAATTCCCATTGCACATAGTGTGTACTTTTTGATAGGGCTTTTTTTGTGACTTACATTCTTAGTTTCATTCACCTCATTCCTCCCCTTTCCTAGGATCTCATTGTTGTAGACCATAAGGCAGCCAACAGGAACTTCCCCATTTTCCAATGCTTCTTTAGCCTGCAAGACACACAAGAAAATTAGGAGTGGAGGGGGAAATGTTAACGATAAAGTGCAGACAAAATAAAACCTAATTGCTGTTTGCGTTTGTATATACTGTACACTTGATGGCAAAGTTACACTCTGTCACAGAAGCTCTTTCTGTATTTCCAGTATAGGTTTACCATATTGCAGGTTCCCTAAAAGAGGACACGGCCGGAGGGGGAGGGAGCTTGGGGGAAGGGGGAGCAGGAGGGGTACAGCTGGGGCTGCTGAAGGAGGTACCTACAGCGGAAGTACTCACTGGAGGTGGGGGGCAGTGACTTTCCCTGTCACAGTGGCTGGTGTGAGCCCAGGACGCAGCAACAACCATCAGTCAGTGCCTCCCCAGGGATGGGAGCTGGGGCCTAGGTAGGCGAGATCCAGCAACTGTGGCTGCAGGGGAACGAACCAATCAGCTGCGGATGCAAGGGAGGGACCAACCAGAGCTCTTTCTGAGGTGCAGCTTGTCTGCTCTGCAAAAACCCTGGACATTTCCTGTTATTAGAAAAATCCACACAGACAGACAAAGGAAGCTCAAAAAAGAGACTATGTCCAGGAAAACCAGGATGTATGGTAACCTTATTCCAGTAAAAAGACAGACCTGAGATATTTTATGTCTTTTCTAAATAAAGGGCCTGATTCAGCCCAGGAAACCTTGTGGCAAAAATCTTGTGCAAACAGCAACACATACACCTTCCATGAAGCCAGTGTAACCACAAATGTAGGAGTGCTGATCGGGATGGGAGTGTGATGAGAGACTGATTGAATGCATTCAAACATCCTCTGGTGTGGCTACTATGGCTCTCACCCAATGTACAATCCATGAAGGCAGGCAGATGGTTATACTCCTTCCTGCCCTCCTTTGGGTGAATCTCCCTCAGGCACAGAGGGCCAGCCTATTGCAGAAAGGTGCAACTGACACCTCCCTAGTCCAGGAGACACTAACCCAGACACTTTGCTTGCAGTTTATGTCCACATCCTGATTAGTAAGCTCAATAAGGGTCATCTTAGATATCGGTGACCTTGACTGTACCCATGCAGCTGGGCCACGCTGAACTCTCTAGTGTAGCTGTGCCCTTAGATGAGGGGTAAACTTGAGGTGCTGATTTTTGGTCACTCATGAGTAAACATACTAAATCCAGTGCCCGACTCAGACATCTGCCAGCCTACATTCCCCTTGCAGCTTCAGCTACATGGGGTACCTGCTGCCCTGATACAAACAGCTGAGTGATGCTGGGCTGTCCAGCTCTCTGTCTTCACTAGCTATTTTGCCTCAAGTGAACGGATTGGCCAATTCACTCAAGTTAGCCAACTCTAGGGAAAACAAGCCCTGAGTGCTGGAGCCCACCACCCTGGTGCCCCAGCTCCAGTCTAGGCGCAAAGCTGCACCACTTTAACCTCAGCTGTGTCTTTTAACCCAGACCTGAAGAAGAGCGCTGTGTAACTCCAAAGCTTGTCTCTCCCACCAACAGAAGCTGGTCCAATAAAAGATATTACCTGGCACACACCCACCCCTTGCCTCTCTATTTTAACTCAGTTATAAGGGCGTGCCGCTCCCCCTGCAGAGATTCCTAGCTCAGGCAAACCGGCCCGCACTGGGCTTGTCAGGAAATTAACAGGTACCAACTAGACTGTAAACTCCGTGGGGCAGGGACCCGGGGGCTCTCCTGGCTCCGTCCAGCGCCTAGCACAGTGGGGACCAGGCGGCGGGGAGGAGGGTCCTAGGTGCCCGGAGACTACAAATAACAACAAACGCCGCTCTCCAGCCTTTGCGCCCTGGGGGCTTTATCCCCAGTTCCTGCGCCGGGCGGCCCCGCACTCACCATGCGCAGGGCTCGGTCCATCCAGCGCTCCGCCGCCACCTCCATCCCCCGCCGGCCGGGCCCGGAACGCGCCGCGCCGCGCGGCTGTTTCCGGGGGAGCCGGGCGGCGGCGGCACCGCGGGGAGGCGGCCTGGGCGTGTCGGTGTCTGCGCGGCCGCCTCTGCCCGCCCCTCCCGGCGGCACCCGCGGGGCTGAGGCGGCCTCTCTCGGCTGGTCCGGGCGCGGGGCCGGCCGGGCCGGGGGCAGGATGCTGGGAGCCCTGTGGAGCTTCCTCAAGCGCCACAAGAAGAAATGTCTCTTCCTGGGCACCTTCCTGGGCGGTGAGTGACCCGCCCCGGGCCTCGGCCTCCCGCCGGCCTCGCTCACTCCCCCTTCCCCTTGCAGGAGGCAGGTGCGGGACCCAGAGCCGTGCCCTGCGCGGTGCCCCGTGTGTGTCTGGGGCCGGGCCCTGCTCTGGGGGGTGGGGGCGCGTTCAGATCAGGGCGCCCAGGGTCCGTGCAGAGGCTCCTGCCCAGCTCGGGAAATAGTCCCACCCCCGCGGCGCTCCCTGCAGAGAATGGGGGGAGCTCCCCGGGACCCTACGGCGCGCGCTGCAGCCTGCTACCTCTCTGCCCAGGCCGTTCGGCTCAGCTTTAGCAATATCGCAGCTAAATCATCCTTGCGTATGTAGGGCGGACATGCTTCCTCTCCGCTCCTTGTCCTAGGCTTTCTTTAGAAGCTTACACCTTTTAATAGGTGCGGCCCAAAACCCTTTTGTAGTATTAACTTGAAAGGCAGTTTTAAAAATAGAATCTTGTGACTGGTTGGGATAAGACAGTTACATGTTCATATATAACTTACTTAAATTGATTCATTATGAATAATTTTGGGATGCAAAATCTGTGGTTTTAAAAAGCACAGCAGACAGATCAGGCTTTTACATGGTAGTTATTCTTTGCAGTTATATGGAGAGGATGATGGCACAGTAGCCAGTGAGGCAACTCATATTTTAGAATATTTCCCTCCTGTTCCATGTTTATTTTCATAGTGATTGATTTTTACTAAAATGTTACCAAGGACCATGATCCCCCTATTGCTGGTGGGGAAACTAAGAGGATCAGCTGAAGCAAACAATATAAATAAAATTTTTAGGCTGTGCCCATTCAGTTGCTTATGTTAGATTAGTAAATCTGAATTAACTTGAAGGCCTTGAAAGCAACACGTACCTTGAATTATTTAAATTTTTAATCATAGCTTAACAAAATTCATACTGCAACATTGGAAAGCCATTACATGTTTTGTATCATCCTTCAAGTACTAACTATTGCAATAATTCGGTAAGATAGCTGTGTATTTAGCTGAAATGCACATTTGCCATCACTGATAAAAACACCACATGCGCTCATTTTAGCCCCAGTCATGGAAAATACATTGTCCCAAAACTTAGTTAACCCAGCTGACCGGCAGTGCCATTTGTGCCACCAGGATGTTGAATGCACCTATACTTAAAGGTCTGAAAACAGGAAATAGAGTTTAGTTACACACAATAATCTGTTCCTGCTGTGGGGATTTGTGCTAGTCTGGTAGTGTACGCTACAGGGCAGAGGTAAGTGTGGGTGATATTCCAGATGGAGTCCTTAAGACAAGGGTTAAGGGCTGGTAATACCTGGCAACAAGTGGTCAAATATAAGCACACTAACAGTTTCTTCTGCTGTAGTACCCGTGTGTTGTGTCCCCACAGTGCTTTATATTTATCTGGAAGGATAGACATCATCTATCAAGGCAGATTGGGACACAAAGGGTTGTCTACACTGCACTTGGGAGGTGTGATTGCAGCAAGCGTAGCTGTACCTGAGCCAGCTTTGACACAGCTGGATCTAGCAGGTCCTGCTCCCAGAGGGCATCTCAGAGCTATCGCTGCCTGTACCTGGGCCTCATCCCAAGAGGGCATCTCAGAGCCACTTGACTAACAGCTCTGCCTTCCTCCTGGCTTCTCTATTCCCCACATAGTAGAGCCCTGTAACCCAACGGACCTGACTACAAGTGTTGGGGCTGGGTCAGTTGGGAAAAAAACTGGACTGTCTGGGGGTGTGGTGGGGTTGGCACAGTGGTGATTGCCTGCCCCGCTCCTGCCAGCTGCCTGCAGCTATGAGGAGCACATCTGCCTGCTGGAGAAAGCAAGGGGGAGTGGATGGGAGCCCCATACTTCATATTCCACACTTCAGGAATAGGGTAGAGATAGGGGAATCTGCAATATAGGAGGATTACTGAGGTGTGAAGTGTTTCATCTCAATGGGATGTGCTTTGGGGTGGGCGCGGATCAGACCATCCCATGGAGATGAATACAGCATAACATAATAGCTCTGAGACATGTGAACTGACCCATTTATCTCAGTGGGTGTTTTCCCTTTCCTAAAACCTATCCTATCCACTTTTGTGAAACACCAATTTTAAGGACAGACAATCACTATGCGCAGGTCAGTTTTAGAGCAGTTTGAATATTAAAATCAGCTCCTTATTGGTGGGGCAGGGGGAGAGAGGAGCCTGTGTCTGAGGAACCCCTTGGCAAAATGACCTCAACTTACACCTTAACTCTATCTCTGTCCCTGACATGGCACAGAAATATTATGGTGGGGTACACTGGAGCAGGCTCATATCTTTACTGTAAAGATAGCTAGATTGACTAAAGATTTTCAGCCTTGAGCAACATTTAAATACTGTTTGGGTTTATAGTAGTAATCTGCTTACTCTTTCAAATATTTACTTTGTAGCCTGTGAATCTTGATTCAGTTGTGGGGGGAAAGTGTAGATTTGTATTTACAGCTTTGTAAGTGCACTGTAGCATCAAGAGGAATTTTGAATCAATATCTAAACTTGTTCTGTGTACTGTTATGTGATTCTCTCTTCAATGAGAAGAGCTGTATAAAGAGAATTAGTGTAGAAAAACACATGTATGTGGTCAAATAGCAGTGATGCTTATGGTAATAGTGAAAACAACAAAGAGTCTGGTGGCACCTTAATGACTAACAGATTTATTTGGGCATAAGCTTTCCTGGGTAAAAACCTCACTTCTTCAGATGCATAGAGTGAAAGTTACAGATGCAGGCATTATATACTGACACATGGAGAGCAGGGAGTTACTTTGCAAGTGGAGAACCAGTGTTGACAGGGCCAATTCAATCAGGGTGGCTGTAGTCCACTCCCAATAATAGATGAGGAGGTGTCAATTCCAGGAGAGGAAAAGCTGCTTCTGTAATGAGCCAGCCACTCCCAGTCCCTATTCAAGCCCAGATTAATGGTGTTGAATTTGCAAATGAATTTTAGTTCTGCTGTTTCTCTTTGAAGTCTGTTTCTGAAGTTTTTTTGTTCAATGATAGTGACTTTTAAATCTGTAATAGAATGACCAGGGAGATTGAAGTGTTCACTTACTAGCTTATGTATGTTACCATTCCTGATGTCCGATTTGTGTCCATTTATTCTTTTGCGGAGGGACTGTCCGGTTTGGCCAATGTACATGGCAGAGGGGCATTGCTGGCACATGATGGCATATATAACATTAGTGGATGTGCAGGTGAATGAGCCCTTGATGGTGTGGCTGATGTGGTTGGGTCCTCTGATGGTGTCGCCAGAGTAGATATGGGGACAGAGTAGGCAACGAGGTTTGCTACAGGGATTGGTTCCTGGGTTGGTGTTTCTGTGGTGTGGTGTGTAGTTGCTGGTGAGTATTTGCTTCAGGTTGGGGGGTTGTCTGTAAGCGAGGACTGGCCTGCCTTCCAAGGTCTGTGAGAGTGAGGGATCATTTTCCAGGATAGGTTGTAGATCGTAGATAATGCGCTGGCGAGGTTTTAGCTGGGGGCTGTATGTGATGGCCAGTGGTGTTCTGTTATTGTCCTTGTTGGGCCTGTCCTGTAGTAGGTGATTTCTGGGTACCCGTCTTGCTCTGTCAATCTGTTTCCTCACTTCCCCAGGTGGGTATTGTAGTTTTACGAATGCTTGATAAAGATCTTGTAGGTGTTTGTCTCTGTCTGAGGGGTTGGAGCAAATTCGGTTGTATCTTAGGGCTTGGCTGTAGACAATGGATCGTGTGATGTCTTGGATGGAAGCTGGAGGCATGTAGGTACGTATAGCGGTCAGTAGGTTTCCGGTATAGGGTGGTGTTTATGTGACCATCACTTATTTGCACTGTAGTGTCCAGGAAGTGGATCTCTTGTGTGGATTGGTCCAGGCTGAGGTTGATGGTGGGGTGGAAATTGTTGAAGTCCACGTGGAATTCTTCAAGGGCCTTCTTTCCGTGGGTCCATATGATGAAGATGTCATCAATGTAGCGCAAGTAGAGGAGGGGCACTAGGGGACGAGAGCTGAGGAAGCGTTGTTCTAAGTCAGCCATAAAAATGTTGGCATACTGTGGGGCCATGCGGGTACCCATAGCAGTGCCACTGACTTGAAGGTATAAGTTTTCCCCAAATCTGAAGTAGTTGTGGGTGAGGACAAAGTCACAAAGCTCAGCCACCAGGCGTGCTGTGGCCTCATCAGGGATACTGTTCCTGACAGCTTGTAGTCCATCGTCATGTGGAATATTGGTGTAAAGTGCTTCTACATCCATGGTGGCCAGGATGGTGTTTTCAGGAAGAACACCAATGCATTGTAGTTTCCTCAGGAAGTCGGTGGTGTCTCGAAGATAGCTGGGAGTGCTGGTAGCGTAGGGTCTGAGGAGAGAGTCCAAATAGCCAGATAATCCTGCTGTAAGAGTGCCAATGCCTGAGATGATGGGGCGTCCAGGGTTTCCGGGTTTATGGATCTTGGGTAGCAGATAGAATACCCCTGGTCGGGGTTCTGGGGGTGTGTCCATGTAGATTTGTTCCCGTACTGTAGCTGGGAATTTCTTGAGCAGATGGTGTAGTTTCTTTTGGTATTCCTCAGTGGGATCAGAGGATAGTGGCCTGTAGAATGTGGTCTTGGAGAGTTGCCTGGCAGCCTCGTGTTCATAATCCGACCTGTTCATTATGACTACAGCACCTCCTTTGTCAGCCCCTTTGATGATAATGTCAGAGTTGTTTCTGAGGCTGTGGATGGCATTGCGTTCTGTACGGCTGAGGTTATGGGACAAGTGATGTTGTTTGTCCACAATTTCAGCCTGTGCACGTCTGCGGAAGCACTCTATGTAGTGGTGATAATACAAAAAAAATTGTACTCTAGTAGGACTTGCATACCTCCAAAACAGCGTATTTAAGACCTGAATGCTTTGGATACATATGTCCTCCAAAACATCAATTTGGCTTGTAGTCTAGGAAATTTCAACATTCTAAGATTAAGGTGGTGTTCATGTCCAAGCTCAAGTACAATGAATATAAAAATAGCTTTTCCCCAACTGATCAATGGTTAATGTTGTTTAAATCTGTCAATGTCATGATATGAAACAAGTGCTCAAAGACTTTTTAATAGAAACATAGCAGGAACAGTCCAGGAGTTCCCCTGACGTCTGGAATCTTGTCTTTGCCATTAGTCAGTGCTAGATGTTTCAGTGGACAGTGAACACCTATATAATGTCCTCTGCCAATTGTACCATATTACAATATTATAAGATAAGGGGAGATTTCTTCTTGATCCCAGCTGCTGGGTGTCTTGGGCTCTGATCCTGCAATGTGTTGTATATAGCAGACCCCTGAAACCAATAAGGGTTGTCTACACTTGAAACGCTACAGTGGCACCACTGTAGCTCTTCAATGTATGCACTCCCTATAGTGATGGGAGGGGTTTTCCTATCAGTGTAGGTAATCCACTTCCCCAAAAAGCAGTAGCTAGGCTGATGGAAGAATTTATCCATTGACTAGCACTGTCTACACCCAGGATTTTTTTTGCTACCATGCCCATACAAATATCCAAATGAAATATTTTTGTCTAAAATTGAGCTATCCATTTTCTTTTCTTTTGTATCTCACTCTCTTTCCCTTTTCTTTGGGTTTTATGCATTTAACTTTTCTCACTCACCCTTTATTTCTACCACACTTTTACATTGTGTCTGCTTTTCATTCTCCAGTCTTTTAAAATATTTGTTGTTTGTATTGCAGTCACACCAAAAGCCCCATTGTCAAATTGTGAGGAATCTCTGCTTGGAAGATATTTCTTCCATAAATTCAAAGCATTATGTCTGGCATTTTATTTTCAACTTAAAGTTCCAGCTTTTAATAGTACTATGGAAAAATTCCACCCCAAATAGTTGAGACTCAGAATCTCGAAGAAGCATATGATGTTGTGGTTTTGTTCAATAGAGAGAGGTCGGTAGTTATCATAGGTTTCACCCCCACTCTGGACTTTAGAGTACAGATATGGGGACCTGCATGTGAACCCCTAAACTGAATTACCAGTTTAGATCTGGTTTTGCTGCCACCACTCCCAAGTTCTAACTCCTTGCCCTGGGTATCCTTGAGAGACTTCGTCACCAATTTCCTGGTGAACACCGATCCAAACCCTTGGATCTTAACACAAGGAGAATTCAACCATCCCCCCTCCTTTCCCCCACCAATTCCTGGTGAGTCCAGATCCAATCCCCTTGGATCTTAAAACAAGGGAAAAATCAATCAGGTTCTTAAAAAAAAAAAGGCTTTTAATTAAAGAAAAGAAAGGTGAAAGACAAACCTCTGGGAGAGATTAGCATACCAGCTACTCTCACAGACAACAGATTCAAAACACAGAGGATGTTCCCCTGGGCAAAAACTTAGTTACACAAAAGAATACCCAATTTGATTAACCCCCTAATGCCCAAGACAAAGAAAATAAACATAAACCTATTTATTTCCTTCACTAATACTCAGTACTTGATAAGAGGCTGACTCCTGGAGCTTTCCCACTCCGGTCAAAACTTAAACTAAACTCTAAACGAAGGGAACTTCTCTCCTTTCTTTTGAAACATCTTATCCCCCCATTGGTTCCTCTGGTCAGGTGTCAGCTAGGCTAGGTGAGCTTTGTAACCCTTTACAGTTTAAAGAGGCATTAACCCTTAACTATCTGTTTATGACAGTAGTAAAACAGAACAAAGGGGCAGAAGTAGGAGGAGCTTAATGACATTTTGTAAAGCCACTTGTTATTTAAAAATATATATATCTTTATAGGAGTCTACCTACTGGGAAAATATGGGCAGAGGAAAATTAAAGAAATCCAAGAAAGAGAAGCAGCTGAATATATTGCCCAAGCACGAAGGCAGTATCATTTTGAAAGTAATCAGAGGACCTGCAATATGACAGGTAAGGCAAGCAAATACATTTTTCTGATAAGAAGAATCCTTTGGGGATTTATACAATATATTTAAACCCACAATATGGAAGGAGAAAATTAACACAGCAGCTAGTTAGAACTCAGAAGCATCAGTGTTGAATAATTGTCTTATAAAGGCATAGCCCAAATAGTATTATTGGGCTCTATAATAATATAGATAGATTACAGTTTTTGTAGGTTCAAGATTCTCTAAGGTCCCTAAGCAATATCTTATTCAAGAATAAAGTGGTCGCCAAAGTAAAGGGGTGTGTAGATTTACAGCAAGCCACCAAGAGTAATAATATAAACAAACTCATTAAGTTACATAGAATTAACTTGGCAGATAACCTTTAGTACATCCAGTAAGAAACTTTGCAGTTTAATAATTCCCTAACTTTGAAGATAGACCAGTGGAACACTAAGGTGGTGATGATTATTCTTGTATTACAACATAGTCTATAGCTTAGAGATAGGGAATTATTTAATCACAAGTGGTTCAAGGTTATTTATATAGCACAGGGGTGGAAAGGCATTTTTTTTTTTCACCCTTTGTAGTGCATAATGGCTCCCTGGGTTGCTGAAAGTGATTGAGGATACCAAGGGTGCTTGGAAAGCAGTATGGACTTCCTTTTAACTTAACAGAATCATAGTACTGGGTTGACTGTACAGAGGAAATTAGGTTTTATTTATCCTGCTCATCCACCACAACTAAGTACCATCTCTGAGGGTTTTTTTTCTTTTTTTTCTTTCTGTGTGCATTATCATTATATACTGTGCATGTCTGTCTTTCATTTTATCCTCCTCCTAATAGGATAGGAATTTGGCGCTGAGATCTTCAAAGATGAAAGGAAGTTGGCTCCCAATATCCCTTTTATGTGTTTCTTGTTTTAAATATAAAACAGATCTCGCAGATATGCAGCATCCTTCCTCTTCGGAAACAAGCTCAGTGTTTTCTTCTCCACCGAAGAAAGACAAATTTTAGTTTTGGGCCAGCTACAGTATACGTTTTAAGATTTTATATATCAAATCATTAGATATCTCCTATTTGTATGTAAAAATAATGACATACAAAAGTGGCACTAACAATTGTGCAAGTTGGCATCCTGAGCACTTTGTTTATATTGGGTTCTGTTCTATTACCTTCCTTCAGTTTTTTTTCTTTCAGATACATAACTCTTTGAGGCACTGACTGTTTTCTTATGTCTGTAAAGTACCTGGTATACTTTGAGTTCTACTGCATCATAAATTATAATTTAAGCCCTAAGAAATATATATTTGGTAGTTTGTGTGTGGTAGTACAGTATTCAGTTGTGAATCATCTAAAAAGAGGAAAGATGCCCCAGTGGTTGGGGTCCTAGCCTGAGATTTGGGAAACCAGAGTTCAATTCCATGCTCTACTACCGATTTCCTCTGGGATCTTGGGCAAGTCACTCAATGCCTCAGTTTCCCATGTGTAAAACGGGGATAATATCACTTACCCATCTCCTGGGGTGTTGTGAGGATAAATGCTTTAAAGATTGCGAGGCACTCAGATACTACGGTAAGGTAGGCTATTTAAGTACCTGAGAGAGAAAAAGGAGGACTTGGAACAAAAGTCTAACTTGACCAGCCAATTAAGCCTGGCACAAAATATAGCCAACTTGGGAACTAGCCTGGAGCTGAGGTTTATAGACCCATGCACTTGATAAACAAGGCAAACGCAGACACTAGGAAGTAGGAAATATTCTATCTGGAGCTGTTGTAAAGGCTGTTCCTAGACAAGCGGAGCAGGCTCTGATATGAGCAGTTAGATGGGCTGATGAGAATTTGTTTCTTCCTGCACAAATCGGAGTTCCCAATCAGTAAATAGAACAAGCGAGGGCTTCTTTGAAGCAAACCATCCCTGTGACTTTACATACTGTTAAAATGACTTGGTAAATTTGACTGCAATGTTTCTTTTTTGATGTAACCTGAAAAGGGCCTGCCTTAACCTCTAAAAATAGTGGTAACAGATGGGTAGTGGCCACCCCAGTTTGATTTCCACAAGACTTATTGAATTAATGTTTGCTTTTGTTAAATTATGATTGGAAACCTTAGATCTTATGGTCATGCTATAGTATACTTTCAGCCCCTTCTGTGTATCTTGTCCTTCCTTCCAGTCACCCACACCTACCAGGTGTGTTGTAAATTAGGAAACAAAAATAAATATTCTTAACTATTGGAGGGGAGGAGGGTAGACACACTTAGGCTGACTGTTTTTCTTTGTTTACCAATTTATTTTCTTTTAATAATAGTGCTGTCAATGCTTCCAGCACTGAAGGATGCCCTAATGCATCAGCTGAATTCTGAAAGCCTCACATCTTTACTGAAAAATAGGTAAGAATGTTTTGTAGATTGTCTTAGAAACTGTGCAAAGTGATTTTGAGTCACAAATTTTCCCTGATTTGGGCTTTAAGTGATGCATTTGCAGTTTAAAGAGCATGAGAGATTTTGATTCTCTAGATCCTTGAATCAACAGTCTATTGTGATATTCGTTATATCACAATAAAATGATTATTAATTATGTAGTTTCGTGTGTATGGCACTTCATCAATATTAGAAGAAAAGACCCTTGCCCTACAGCACCTAGTCTAAGACAGTGGTTCCCAAACTTGTTCCGCCGCTTGTGCAGGGATAGCCCCTGGTGGGCCGGGCTGGTTTGTTTACCTGCCGCGTCCGCAGGTTCGGCTGATTGTGGATCCCAGTGGCCGCAGTTCACTGCTCCAGGCCAATGGGAGCGGCTGGAAGCAGCAGCCAGTACGTCCCTCGGCCCGCTCACTGGTGCAGAGGAAGCATTGAATTTAATTTTGCTTGGATATAGGATTGTAAGTTTTTTATTTTTTGTGGAGAGACAGATCATGAGATGAAGTAACTGACTGGATTGGGTATAAAGCTAGAGTTTTTCAAGTAGCTACGTATTCTTGGGCTCTGCCCAGAGATTCAGGGATGCTTTCTCACCTTTTCCTCTGACAGAGATCGATCAAACTTCTTCAGTCCATGAGTGGTCATTTTGACCGAAGGAGTGAAAGAGAGTACATAGCAGGTAGATAGAAAGGACCACCGTTTCCTAACACTACTGTCTTATGCCATGTAAAGGAGCAGAAATGGAGATTTCAGTTCTTGATGTCCCAGAGGATACATCATCTTTCTGATATTTCAGTGTGTTAAGATTGTGCCATGCCTTAGTAAGTCTGCTGAAATACAAAAAGCTGGGCACTTTTTTTAGCATTGTTGTGGAAAAAATTTCTTCAGTCTTCCTAGGAAACTGACTCTGAGAAGAAGAAATATCAGATAGGAGCAAGAGTATTCAGGTTCCATCTTGGTCTCCTTTCTCACACCAGAGCAATCCTGGCTGTTGTGACCAGGGAAGTGATCTGCCGCTGTATTCCTTGCTCAACACCTCCCATCCTCCAAGCTACGCTTTTACAGTGTCTTCCCTAGCGAACAACTCCAGTGCTTGCTTCTGCTGCTAACTATGGCTTTCCAGAGAAATAAGAGTAAAGTTGATGTGATCCTGGTCAGTTTCACTGCCTCCAACAGGCTTCTGAATAGCAACAGTGAAAACTGACATGACTGGTCAGTTTTCACTCTTCTGTCCCTTGATATTGCAGGTGTTTCCAGGGACTTAAAAAGACCACATCAGTTTACACTGAAAGATTATCTTTATAATCACAAGCTCTAGAAACAGTTTTTCTGTTTAGATGAAAACAGGTTCTGCAAAAGTTGATGGCATTGGTTCCTCTTCCCCATCCCGTTTGGCATGGAAAATTTTGTACTCATTGTATACAAATAGACAAGTATATTTTCAAGCCCTGTAATGTGCTGGCTTAAAGGAATGCTCTAGTATGTTTTTTTGTTTGTTTTTTTTTATGTAGGATTTTCTTTCTCTCCATTTTTTTAAAACATAGTTTTTAAAATTGTTGATATATTTTGCAAAACAGAATAAAGTAAGTGTGAGTTGCTGTTACATATGCCATAGCGTTCCTCTGTCTCTTCCTAAATGTTTGTCTCCATCTGTCCACCAAAGTCATAGATTCGATAGCCTATTATATTTCATTGTCTGTTGTATGATTTCTACTAGAGAACTGAGCAGTTGATTGATATTTTAAACAAATACCAAATTCTGTGTGTTTCTTCTAAAAGGATGAAAATGCCCAGAAGTGTTGAGAGCCAGACCTGTGAAGAACAGTTCATTGGGGATCAAAAATGATAATTTAAATTTTATTATTTTACTGGAATTTCTTGCAGCCTGACGAAAGAGTAGATCATGTTTTCCTACATAAAAAAAGTGATATTTATGTAACCTTTCACACCAAGGAATTACAAAATACTTCCCACGTTATTTTCAGGCATCATTTCACACAGCACTGAAATGCTGTCATCTCTGGGCTGAAACGCAACAGCCATTCTGTATCCGCAATGCTTAAAGATAAGCATGGCTACATGAGGAAGAATTAAGGTTATAAATAAGGGTTAAATTTGGCCAAGACATTGGGGATAACATGCCTGGTTTTAAAAAAAAAAAAAAAAAGTGGGGGTGGCATTTTCTTTTCCACAGATGTCCCAGAGGAACATCATCTCTCTGATATTTCAGTGTTTTAAGATCATGCCATGCCTTAGTAAGTCTGCTGAAATACGAAAAGCTGGTCAGTTTCATCTTTCGAGCTTCATTTCATCTTTAAAAATCATCAACTGTGCTCCCTACAGCCAAACTTGGCAATGGTTGGACTTGGAAGAAGGAATATGACCACTGAGACTCTGGTCCTGCAGTGCAGTGCACTGTGCCCACCCAGAGCCCCATTAAGTCAGTGGGGCTCCAGGTGGGTGTAGGTGTCTGTCTGTGTAAAACAAATGATAGGATCTGGGCCCATGTCACCAACACCACCTTCTGTATCATCAGGGTTTTCTCTTTAAATACTGTAAAAAGCAACAGAGGGTCCTGTGGCACCTTTAAGACTAACAGAAGTATTGGGAGCATAAGCTTTCGTGGGTAAGAACCTCACTTTCTTACCCACGAAAGCTTATGCTCCCAATACTTCTGTTAGTCTTAAAGGTGCCACAGGACCCTCTGTTGCTTTTTACAGATTCAGACGAACACAGCTACCCCTCAGATCTTTAAATACTGAGTCACTAAGCTTATAAACTCAGACCAGATAATAGAGCTACAGAATCCAGATTGCCAAAAAAATTAATCTGGTACATGAAAGTTGTTTTGAAAAACCTCCAGGATTTTGTAGTTCTTTATTATAGACACGCTTCTTCCTGAACTACAAACAAATGATGGTGGACACAAACTTAATTTCAATAATTTTTGTAGTTATATAAACTTGCCTTGCAGCACTGTTATTTCATTTAGTTTCTTTAATACTTTCTAGTTTCTTTTTGAATGTAAATGTTTTTAATATTTTTCATTATTTCTTTCCCAACAGGCCACCAAACAAGTTAGAAATATGGGAGGATTTAAAGATAATAAGTAAGTCAAAATGAAAGATTTTTATGTACATATTATTGTAGCATAATAAGCCTGAAAAAAATCTTTTTTCTTCTCCTTTTAGAATATACATATCCATTTAAGTGCACAGGAGTGGGTTGCTGTTGCTTAAGCAAATATTGTTTATATAGTCACTATTCTACTACACTTCATAGCAACATTATACAGTAGAAGCCATCACAGAAAGGTGCTACGGATAAGAGTTTTGTATCTCTTTGGAAAGTCATAGGGTCAGAGGCCAAGCTGAAGTATCTCACTGAGTCTTGGAAGGCTGTAAGACCCTCATGAAAATCCTGAGAAGAGTGGAATAACAATGTAGAAATATGCATGCCACATCTTCTGCACCATTGTGAAAAATCTCCAAAATAGGTTCTCAGAAACGACTGCAATAGGCGCAGCATAAGAACCTGAACAAAAAAAATACGTCATTGCTACTAAAATGTAGGCCAGTTGTACGTATTATCAGCTGTTGATTTTGCTGAAGCCCAGAGTCTCATGTCATTGTTGACATAATGTGAGAATCGCAAACACAGTTACATGTGGGACAAACAAGATTATCCATGACCAGGGCAAGCTGTTGTGTCCTTGCTCTATGGTGTTCGGATTTTTCACATAAGGTATTAAGGTGCCTTGCTTTAAAGCAGTTAATGACAATATGACAGAGCAGTGTGGCGGCAGTTTTGACATGGGCTGTTGCTTCCCAGTTGCTGGGTCAATCTGACATGTTTTCAAGTTTTTTAGTGTATCTTTATATTGTTTGTACTTGCCATCATGAAACTGGATACTTTGCTTTAGCTGATCATAAAATATGGCCTTGTGTATTGAGTTGGCCTATGAATAAAATACCCAGACCAAGGCAGCTGAACTTTTCTGAGCATGCCTTCAGTGCCAGACATCCAACAGTGATTAAGGATTCCAATATTGGGAATCTCGTCCCACTATTTCATCCTGCAAATAAACTGAAGACTGAGCACATAAAACTAATCAGGTTACATAATGTGGCAGCAATATGTTGCTTATGTCTTACAACCATATAAAAGCATTATAAGTACGACTGTCCAATAGACATATAGCTTAGATGTCTCTGTCACTCCATAGGCAATATGATAGCATTCCAAATGCAAACCTGGCCTTGGTTATGCACTGGGGAATCTCATAACCAATTATGGCATTCAGTGATGGCATACTCCCTAAGTAGCAAAACTTCTCCACTGACTTGAGAGAAGCGTGCTATCAGCTGATTTTTGTCCGCCCCCCCCCCCTCAAGTTCCATAGTAACCAATCATACCATCGGAGCCCCTTGTTTCATCATTGTATGTGTTTTGGGGTAGAGGGAAAGGAAAGGATGCCATAGTGTATACATAGCTGAATAGTTGTGCAGTGAAATACCATTGGGCCAAGGTTGAATACCCCTTCTTGACTCCTAGCTACTATGTGTTGTTCTGTTTTTTCTCTTTGCTTCATCTTCCACTCCCTTTGGTTCTGTTCCTCTCTCTTCTACAGCTCTCTTATATATGCTACTTTGTCCATCTGGTCCCTTCCTTCTCCTTCCCTGTTTCCTAGTCCTTTTCTTCTCATGTTCATATTGCTTGCTACTCAAGCAGACTTACTGCCTAGTTCCCTCATTTACCCTTCTGTCCAGACATCCTCTCTAGTGGCTGGCTGCTCCAGTGCCAATGCTGGTTCCTGTTTCCTTTCTTAAGCAATATCAGCCCCTACTGTAGGTAGTTAACAGGCTTCTTGTTACGCTGCCTTTGTCTGAATTGCATGATGAAGTCTAATATAGTGTTCTAAATTTGTTTCCATGGCCTAATGAAGAATGGAACTTTCAATATAACACCCTATTTTGCATTTTTAATTAGCCCAATAAAAGGGATCAGCTGGAAGGGCATGTAGTTCGGGTAACATTATGCAGTATCTTTTCGTTTTGCAAATTATTTTAATAGTGTAATTTAGCATGTTGCTTTACAGTGAATGATTGTGAATTTTATTAAGCATTTTAGCTATCACTACTGTACATATTTAGACTTATGTGATCATCTTGGTTGTGAACTTTCTTTGAGGGGTGTGTGATCTAAGAAAAGCAATGACATGAAAAAATGACTGTAAAAATGAAAGTTGATACTTATTGAGCTCTGGAGAATGCTCCCCTTTGCCCTCCTAGTGAGATAACTTCAAAATTATTTCCTTTTTCCTCTTTAAGGTTTTACCAGAAGCATCGTAGCTGTGTATAGTACATGTATGCTTGTAGTTCTTCTGCGAGTCCAATTAAATATTATTGGTGGTTACATCTACCTGGATAATGCAGCAATCTGCAAAAACGGCACAGTAAGTATTTATTCATGAAAAGAAATTATTCAGTGAGAGATGAAAGGGTATAACCAGGAATATTGGGATGAAATTATGGAAAGGAAAATTTAGGCTGAAATCAGGAGTGGGGGTATGAGAACTCTTCTGGTATTAGTCTATGGAATAGTCTCTCAATGGAAGTAGTGATAGTCCTGTTGCTTGAAACCCCTAAAACTGGGCTGAACAAAATACTAATAACCTTATCTAACACCCTTTCTGAGCAACACAGGTGCAAATTGAGAGGGTTATTTGTTATTAAATACCCAACTAAATATACACTTCTCTTATCTTATTAATTTTCTGAGATATAGCAATATCAGTATGGACAAACCAGCCTGTGGTAAGTAATCCAGCTGCAGGATTTTCATGCCTAGTTCCTCCCAGCATATAGGCAGGCTGCCCCAAGTTACAGTCTCCCACAACTGAAGAAAAATAATGGTTGGCTAATTACAACACTGACTATCTAGTCACGTTGTCTGACTCCAGTTGTCCCTTGAGGCTTATTGACTGGATGTTCTTACTGGTGTTGCTAGATCATGGAAAACAGCTAGCAAGTTAACCGATTTGGTTTTCTTTTCTGTGTTGTGGCTGTCCCCAACAGGAACAAATGGGTCCAACTAGGGTGTCAGATAAGATCTCAGTGAGCTACTGGACGGCTGCTCTAAAAGCATGAGGTGTGGGCATTAATAGTTATCTGAGTGCTCCTCTTTATTGTTAACAGCTCCTTCCACCTTCCTTTCCAGAGTCATAAAGGAACATGTTGGCCTCTAGAGACAGGCCTCAGGGCTTAGGAGGATCCACTTTCCAGTAAGGCAGTCAGAGACAGGGCCGGCTCCAGGCACAGGCACCAGCACAGCAAGCAGGTGCCTGGGGCGGCCAACGGAGAGGGGCGGCACGTCCGGCTCTTCGGCAGCAATTCGGCAGTGGGTCCCTGAGTCCCTCTCGGAGGGAAGGACCTGCCGCCGAATTGCCGCAGAAGAATGAAGCGGCGGTGGTAGACCTGTTGCCGATCGCGGCTTCTTTTTTTTTTTTTTTTTTTCCCTGCTGCTTGGGGCAGCAAAAACACTGGAGCCGGCCCTGGCCAGAGATGGTGGAAGTCAGGGTCCAGTTGGTAAAATCTGAGGTGGTTCTTGGGCAGGGGAGTGTAGCGGAAGAAGCACTCTCTGTTTCTGCCATCTTCCGAGCAGTGGAGTGGATTGGCAGGATCCAGTCTGAGAGGTTGCCTTGGAGCAAAGCAGATGGCCTCTGCTTCATGTCTTGAGAATTTTTCACCAAAGAGACTTTTAAGGCTTTTGTGAAACTTGAGTTGTTACTCCATTCCATGAGAGTGGCTTTCCTGAGGTTATCTGAGGAGCAGGAAGGTGGAGAGGGGGCTGGTTCCAACTCTAGCTTCCCCTCTTCAGGAGAATTCCTATCTGAGCAAAGGGCGAATGAGGGATGAGGTTTTTCCTGCCACTAGGGATGGAGAAGTCGTCCCTACAATACAGTGGAGGGAAAAAATCAGGGAGCTTGTCTGCAGAAAGCTCTTTTTGGAGGAGAGGTAAAAGGATCCTTTAGGATGGAAGAAAGCAGAAGCCATAGCCTGAATAAAGGGTCTCCTTTTTATTGGAGAAAGGGGAATGTCTGAGAGAGACTTGTCATCTCCCACCTCCAGCGTGTCTGCTTGTGAGCTCCTGTTTGAGTTGATTTCCTCTGGAGGTTCTCTTCTTGGGTGTCCTAGGACAAATAGGAGCAGTCCTGCTGTTCCTCAGAGTCCCCAGTGGGGCAGGGGTTGCTAAATTAGATTGGCTGCTCCCATCTTTTGCTCGGGCTTGTGTGTAGCAATTCTACACAAGGCTAGGAGAGGAAGGATGAGCACAATGACCTGCTGCTAAAGAATGGATGTGCTGCAGAAGACGTTTTTAGCTCTTCTTCCCAATTTTCCTTTGAGGAAGTCTTTGTTCTACCCTGTTTCATGCTGTGAAACTACTGAGGTCTGGAAGAAAGATGGTGCCTCACCAGTGAGGCAGAGTTGGGGAAGCCCATGCATGATATTAGAAGGATCCGGGGGAAACGCACCTATGGTGTTGGAAGGACTTGGGAGAGGAAAATCCACATCCAGAATGACTACAACCTGCATGAAAGCAAAGGAGGAGGACTCATGCATTAATCTATATTAGTGGCTGGCACATCATTAAATTGTTTTTGTTTGTTTTTTCTTTACAGACACTTCTAGCTCCCCCTGAAGTCCAACAGCAATATTTATCAAGTATTCAACACCTTCTAGGAGATGGTATGACACTTGTAAACTACTATTTTTATATCATGCCATTATATGCAATATTTCGACAAATGAGACTTGAATCATTTTTGGTACCTTTTTTCTGCCCATAGGTCTGACTGAGTTAATAACTGTAGTTAAACAAGCTGTGCAGAAAGTGTTTGGAAGGTAAAGGTGACTGTTTTTTTCCATCTTTTCCATGGTGGTTGCTTCCTAATAGTGTGTCGGGGGTAAAAATATTAAAATGAGGAAACTTTATGATTTGCAAATAGTATCTGAAAATTCCTGATTTATCTATTAATGTGCATTGGCAAGCTTAGCTTGTTGCAACAGATTTCTGGGTTGATCAGTATCTAAATATGGTGATTGTTGTTGTTTGAATGTAATTTTGTCACAAGCAAATAAATGAAATCTGTGTTATTGACTCTGCAATTAACATTTTAGTCCTTTATTTCCACAGTGTTTCTCTTAAACATACTCTGTCTCTTTTGGAGTTGGAGCAGAAACTTAAAGAAATCAGAAGGTTGATAGAACAGCATAAAGATTTGTCCCACTCAGATAAGATTGGATCTAGATCTCTGTTGTGTCATTATATGATGCCAGATGAAGAAAACCCATTAGCCACCCAGGTACTTGTTTAATTTTATGTGCATCATTTTTGTTCTATTTTGTGCACCACATTATTGTTGTAGCATGGTAACTGTACCCTTAATGAGAGCCGATGCCAGTTACTTCACATTAAGTCAAGTGTCGTGGTTTCTTTAATCTAGGCAATGTAATTAATAGACTAGAAGAGTTAAAACAGAATTGCTTTTTATTCTAATCTCAACTTCATCCTCCAGCATGGAGAAACAAAGATTAGAAAGAAGAAGAAAACTTCAATGGCAATCAGTTGTTTCACTAAAACAGTTTTCCAAACTTCCTGAAGTTTGCCAGCATCATAGTTACATATCTAATCTACATCTCACATTGAGAGGAGATTCAGCTCTTAACTGGATATAAAACTAGTTTTAAGGAATAAACTTTCGCCATAGCGGGCAATAAGATGCTCATCTCATGTTAAATGACTAAATATAAACGTGTTGAATTATTCAACTATAGAGGGCTAAGGAGTAGAGAATATCTCGCTAAGTTACTCTGTTTCCCAGTAAACTTTCTGAAAGGAAACAGCAGTGATAAAATTAGTGAATGCTTCTGTGCACACAGAGATTATAAAGAGACTTGATGATCACGATTTAAAACTCGGTTTCCAGTTGGACATTTGTTACAATGATTTTATTGTATTACATTTTTGGCTTGACTTCTCTCCCCTTTTCCTGTTGCTCTGACATTTGGACTCTTATTTTTGTCGTTCATGGGATATTCACTGTGAGGCTACCTACCCTTAGCACGAGGAAGCCTTGTCTGTGCTTGCCATGGGTCAGCTTCCCAACCCCACTGGCCATTGACAACACAAGCATTGCCCTCTTGGCCTCACTGTCACTCTACAGATTAGTGATTGGCATACCCCAACTCCCAAGATCTCCCAGCATCTCCCTGGAGTGTACAGCCCCTGGTCCACTGGACACTCGCAGTATTTACAAATCCACTGCTTCCTTCAAAGAAACGGTACACTTCAGTTTACCACTTCCACCTCAGATCACCACTCTGCTTTACACACAGCCCTTAATATCTTTATAGCGAACTCAAGTACAGTAGAACCTCAGAGTTACGAACACCTTCAGAATGGAGGTTGTTTGTAACTGAACAAAATGTTATGGTTGTTCTTTGAAAAGTTTACAACCGAACATTGACTTAATACAGCTTTGAAATTTTACTATGCAGAAAAATTCTGCTTTTAACCATCTTAATTTAAATGAAACAAGCACAGAAACAGTTTCCTTACCTTGTCAAATCTTTTTTTATACTTACCCTTTATTTTTGTAGTAGTGTATGTTTAACACAGTACTGTACTGTATTTGCTTTTTTTTGTTTGTTTCTGCTGCTGCCTGATTGCATACTTCTGGTTCCAAATGAGGTGTGCGGTTGACTGATCAGTTAATAACTCTGGTGTTTGTAACTCTGAGGTTCTACTGTATAAGTCTATTTAACAAAGCGTAGAGATTCAAGTAGCAGCAAGCAGTAGTATTGGAAACAAATGGTTACATATAATACACGTTCTAGTGCCTAGACTTAATTAAGATGATACTCTCATGTCTAATAAAGTATTGCTCACCCAAAATTTTTGTAGCACAGGCTAGCTGCGACACTTTTCATGAGACTAGAACACTGTCAGTTTGTTTCCTAGGTGAAGGATTCAGTATGTCTCCTTACGCTCCAAGATATACCGGAACAGATATACCTTTGTCTTTATTCATAAACCAGACACCTTCCCTGCTGTTTGTTTGTTCTTGTAGATTTTGCAGTCTCTCAGTCCGCACCTGATTCATTATGCATGTAGGTATATAATACACAAAACGCAAATGGCCATGGAGATAGGTGTCTTGCCTCTTGCCTGAAAGGAACATTTCTGAGATATGTCACCTTCTGGTGACCTGCCTTAATTCCAAGACACTGCGAATATAATTTTCAATATAGCTCCATAAATATCTGTACATATATTTTGCAATGATTATGACAACCAGTGGGCTACTACTGGCTCTTGTTAGAGATCTTAAATGCCACCATCAGTCAACTACAGATTTCTGACCTAGGGGATCCCTGTAAAGCACTTTGCACCCCCTGTGCACTCTACTAGTTGGTACCAAGCGGTTCCTGGGTCACTTATTCCCATTTTACTAAATTTCTGAAATGAACGCTAGGTGCATGTGTATTACCAGCCTGGTTCTGCAACAGTGACTTCAAAACCAGACCATTATATTTGTAGTCTAACTGTATTCCAGTTGCTAATGGAGTTCCTATTAAATTGGATGTTTTGTTTGCTTTTTCTAGGCCTGTGGACTTACAGAAAGAGATGTTGCTACTATTAAATTACTTAATGAAACCAGAGATATGTTGGAAAGGTATAGTGATAACCTGTGCTGTAATCTGTATTAGCATTAAAATTTTTATCATAATTGCAATTTTCATATATGTACCTATGGTGGTGGTGGTTCCCCTCATCAAATTTGACCCTTAAATTATTAACACTATATTAAAATTAATGAGCTAAAGGCTTTTAGGCTGCCATTTTCAAAAATGCCTAAGGGGGTTGAGTGCTCAAATTCAGTGGGATTTGAATACCGAACTCACTGGACCTTTTTGAAAAACTAAGCTTTAGCTTTTAAAAACAAAACATTCTGATGAAACATTACTAGACACATCACTAGAAAATATACTTGCCAGAAATAATCTTGCAATGACAAACTGACATGACAGGTCTTCTCCCTCCCCTCCCCCCTCATTTTCTGTGGTTCTACAATAACTTGAGCCAACTTCTCTTCTCTGTTAGATCAAAGTAAGTCCAGAGTTGTTTCACTGAAATCAATGGCTTTCCTCCACTCTTACTCTTATGTAAAAGTGCAGAAATTTGGGCTTAATTTTCTTTTTCAGATTCCATTTTTAAATGGATTCCAATTAACACTTTTTTTTTTTATGCAGGGTTTTAGCAGTGCATTAAATGTTTTTCTTTTACAAGGGAGTTATAAAAGTGAGGGATTTTGCATTGAAAATGTTGACAGACATTGAAGCACTGAACTATGGGCAGGCTGTTCTTTTAATTGATCTTCTAGAGGTCTTGGGGATTTTATTGCACCCATCACCTCAGTATCTTAGCACTAAGTAATGATTATTGAAGTTCTAGTTCTCCTATATTAGTGATAAATGCTTTAGAAATGCTTGATCTGCACTGGCTTTTATTCAGCTTACAGGTGGAGTTCAATGTGTTGGTTATAACTGTAAAGACCTAAATGGTTTGGGGCTTGGTCTCTCTCTCTCTGTAGTATACTGCCACAATTGAGAACAGCACTGGTGCTCAAAGTGGAATTGCCTCAATAGAAATGAGAGGGAACTGCTGGCAGGGTGTTCTGTGTCTTTTTTATTTATTTTTTTTCCCACTTTTTGGAACCTGGATCTGCCAGAACCCATACTTACTAATCTTCTGGACGTGCTGCAAAGGCCATCTGTTTGGTGAGCTGAGGAAGATGAATTTATGAGCAGTCCTTTGTCTCTGTTGTAAACTTTAATTTATGGGATACGCATCCATATTGTTGGAGGGGTGCCTATGGGTGTATTTTTTAAAATGTGAAGAACTACATATTAGGAACAAGAACAGCAATTTTTAAACTTTTTTTTTTTTTTTTTAACAGCCCAGATTTTAGTACAGTTTTGAGCACATGTTTAAACAGAGGATTCAGTCGACTATTGGACAATATGGCAGAGTTCTTTAGACCCACTGAACAGGACCTATGTCAGAGTGGCTCTGTAAATAGGTGAATATTACTTTGATGGTATTTTATGTGTTTTCTGTCTTGATTATGCTTTTCACTTCACAGTAAACTCTGCAAATGGTAATAGATTCCATGGCCCCTGTATAAATGGAAGTAACTGGTGATGAGAAGAATTATAGCACTTCGTAAACAAACATGGATTTTATTCACTTTAGTGAGGTAGAAAAGTACTAGCTTTGCCATTTTACAGGTGAGAAAACAGCAATATAAGCTGTGATTTGACTAAGGTCCCACACAGTCAGTTGCAGCGTTAAAACTAGAACTTCGAAGTTCTTGGCTCTCTATCCTGTGCTTAGTCTGCTAGAGCGTGCCGCCTCACTAATTATATTTTGACTTATTTAGAATTTACTCTGCTGGTAGCAACTATTGGAACAATGGGAGGTGATACTTCAGGGAAAATACCAAACACACTGGGTGGAAGAGAGAGTTAGTTTTGGCAGACAAGTTCTTCATTTTGTTCTACTTACCATTTCCAGATCTCTTCAATAACTGGCATGAAGTCAGTCAGGAGTTGCCGTGCCCCTCCCCCACCAAATACACGCTACGTTAATACTTGTAGATCCTGAAGTTCTTCATTTGCATGGTGTATTATTATAATGAGCTATTAAAAAATCTGGAGTCTAGTGCCTCTTCTAATAGACTGCTTACTTTTTTATTTATTTTTATAATTATTTTAGCAATAGTTTTTACAAACCCTGAGTTCAGAGTCCTACACGTGATCCTGCCTAGCCACTGGGCCAGACTCATCCCTGTTGTGACTCCATTGTCTGTTTTAATCCCCTACCTCTTAACACACTCCCTCCTCCTTATAAAACTTTGTTTTAGCACTCTTTCTGACATGAAGTTTCACTCCTTGACTCCCAGATGCTTAGTTTAACCCCTTCTGAACTACGTTCCGTGTATAATACTGTCAGAGTACACAGTGCTGTACAATAATGGGAGTGTGTTGAATACAGAATAGGTCCTTCCTGGAAGAGTGGATGCTGAAAGGCAAAGTGGATTTAAAAAACCCCACACAGGATAAACACAGAATAATATGGGGTCATTTTATAGCTGAAATACTTATCAGAATAGATAAATTGTGGGCATTTCCAAGGGAGCTTGACTTAATAGCACTTCCCTTATAACACACTCTTTATGCCCTGATCCTGCAATGGGGGCCATATAGGCAAACACCTGCACCTAGAGAGAGCCCAGTTGGTTTCAGTGAGGCTCTACGTGTGTACAGGGATCTGCTTACAAAGATCTGTCTCAGTGCAGGATTGAGCGTTGAGGCTGACTGTGAAAGTGGGATGTGGAGGGGCTTTATTACTTTGTTATATTTAGTAATAAGATGAAAGTGAAATGTGTGTACTTTTTGGGTGAAATCCTGGCTACACTGAAATCAATGGCAAAACATCTTATCTGAAAACGCCACACTCATCCAGTTCTAAAAATGATTTTCAGATGAGAAAAACAGATGATCATTGTCAATAACAAAAAAGCAGAACTGTGATTTATTTAAAAATGCTTGATAGTCCCCTTAAGTATCACTTATTTAAATTATTACAATTACTGTAATATTTTTGATTGCTATTAATCTCCCATCTATCCTGCTTGACTCCTCACGCTACCTCCAATAGTATTTGGAAGAGGATAGGACTGCAAACTGACATCGCTAGTGATATAGTCGGTACAAACTTTGGTTGAACTATAGTTCTTGCTACATGTGACACCTATGTTGTTGAATGGAATACAGTCACCAACAGACCAGTTGCTGCTTATTGTGGTTGTTCTCTATATGTGTGCTTTTTAACAAAAGACCTGATAAAGAACAAATAAGTAAACTTAAAACCACACACAATGAAAATCTGAAACTTACTCTTTTAAGGGTAAAAGAAATGGAAGTTACTTCTTCAGAGTTGTAGCTATCCCAAAGAGTTTATATATCGTTTTTGCAATATAAAAGGGAGCTTATGCCTGCCCTCTTGTGTGGTTTTTATTCCTTCTAGTCTCTCCAGTGTCAGTCTTCCTTTGGCAAAGATAATACCCATCATAAACGGACAGATCCATTCAGTGTGCAGTGAAACCCCTAGTCACTTTATTCAGGTAAGAAGCCTTTGTACTTAGTATCTTAAAAGTATCCCAAGTCTGCTAAAATATTCATTGTTAAATGCAACATTTTATATCAAAACTATGTTGCCCAATTCTCATGTGATGAGTTTTAGTTCAGTTTCTTTTAAGAAAAGGCTCCCTCTCCCAAAAAAAGGCCTCTCTCTCTCTCTCACTCATCCCTGCCACCTGCTGTTGTCAGTGGGGGGTAGGGAGGGGACCAGGGAGAAGAAGGGAAGGATGGTGGGAAGTGGGGAATGCAGACTAATCTCTTGATCAGACTCCTTTGGCGATTCTGATCACAATTTTGGTTTTCAAATGTGACAAACTTTTATATTTGAGTAAAAAAACTCAACACTTTCTGGTATCAGACTCACACATGTTAAACATGACAAAGTACTTCAGCAAGAAAAGGTGATGCTTCTTAAACTAGTTATTTTTTACTTCCATCTTCTTCCAGGACTTGTTGATGATGGAACAAATGAAAGACTTTGCTGCTAATGTGTATGAAGCTTTTAGTTCTTCTCAACAATTAGAGAAGTGAACTGTGCATCAAAAGGAACAGTTCATGTCTTTATATAGTACATCCCTTGTGAATACCAGGTGGGAACTTAAGGATTTTGGTTAATTTCATAATGGCGTAGGATTGCTAGACCTTCAGAAAGAATACACTTATTGAAATACTTGGAAATGCACCTGCTATTGTTTATATAATAGAATCCTGCTTACAACACCTGATTAAAAACTTGTTCTTGTTGGAAGAATCACTATTCCCTAAGACTTTGCATTAAGAAGGTTTCAGCTGTATTTAATTAACTCATTTAGAACTACTTTTATTGTACACAAAAGGCCAATATTAAGATACCTACAGTTATTAAAACTGACTTGCTTCGGATGTGGTGAATTTTGGAAGAAGCAATCTCTAATCATAAAACTCTAGAAACTGCAACTGACAGTAAGATGGGTGAAGTCAGGCTTCTCTCTCCTTCCGCTACAAAAACTTTTAAAAACCCTTCTTTCCTCAATACTATAAATGCCATCCTGGAGAATTTAATATTCCAGAGTCAAAAACAAAGTCTCTGCCAACTGATGCAGGTGCCTGACCAAAGCTCTGGGTGCTTGCCTTCTTGCTGAAGACTTAGAATACATTGATTTTTAGAGGGTCTATTGTGTTTATGCTGTTGAGGAACAGCTATCGATGTACACATTTGTAAATATTTTATCTTACTTTGTATTAATTTTGATCCCAGTACACTGTCTGTATTGCAATAAAGAATTTTAATGTAAAATTTGTGTGCAATAATTTTACCAACATAAAAGAATGTCTATACCTAAATAGACCACCATTTTAAAACTTTACATATATCAAAATAAATTTCTCTATATTCTAGTAGTCTTGCATTTATTTTCATTAGTTTCCTGCAGAAATTTGCAAAGACTAGAAAAATATAATTCTTTGACCCATGAGGTAGGACTACTGGAGAGCAATTTTCAAGTACATATGAATTTATAAGTCCACACGAGGCACTTATTTAAAAACCCAATCAGCATAAATAAGAGAAACTACAGCATCCCTACTAACTCTTAAGAATAGCTAAATGCACCACACAGCACAGGTGCATAACATCAATTCACCACTCAGACTTTTAATATGCCCATCACTGTAGCAGAAGTGCATATTTTGTAACTCAGACCTATTCCTATTCACAGTCTCCTAAATTTTACACAGTAAATAATTTTACATGTGAAATTTAGTTAAGATTTTGTGTTAAATTCCTCACCTATGGGAGCTGCTTGAAATACTTACACCTACATGATTTTCCTAGTCTAAGGTTACTTGCAGCCAGTCAGACTAAAGCCCTGATCTTGAAAAGACTTAAGCACATGCATAACTTTATATGTTGTAAGTACTCCTATTAAAATCAGGGCAACTACTCAGTATGTAACGCTATGGATGTGCGTAACTCTTTGCAGGATTGCTGCCCAGGGTAGGATATACAATGGAATATAGATAATGATGAATATTTCTGCAGTAAGATAGACGCTACTACTGTACTAACTTCCCTAGCTCTCTAGAAATGAAATGTGGCACTGAAGCTTCTTTACAAATGTCTTTGACAAAACAAGTTGTAGTGGACTTTGACTCTTCTGAAGGCTGTGAGAACAGCCTAGTTAATCTCTTCCTTGATTTAGAATTCTGCCTAGGCACTTATACCATGTTCAATACCACAGTCCTGTTAAGAGTAGGACAGCAGATACTGATTACCCAAAGATCAATTTTGATTGGCCCATGGGGCCTTTTTGGTGGCACAGCTGCACACGGCCTCCTAGTCACTGAAACACAAATCTTTACATCCATTTTGTTAAGTGGGTATTGAGGAAGAGATAAAGGGCATCATAAATGGACAGCCCATGCCATAGGAGGAAGGGAGGATTAGAATGATTTTTAAACGGCTTCCTCCCACAAGTGCTATTTAGAGCAACATTTGGCTAAACCTGGAACTGCTAAATACTCAAAGTGAGTTGAAAGTGATTACTGGGGGGACACAATGCTGCTGAAAGGACAGCCATACGCCTAGAAGGCAGCAGAGGTCCAGATATTTCTAGAAATATCTTTTCTGCTCTATTGTATATCCTTCACTAGGCGTGCCTTTTATAGTGAAAGGATTTGTTGCACAAGTTCTCTGTAACTCTTAAAAATTAACCATACTCCTCATAGCAATAACCTGCAGCATAGCGGAGATTCTGCTAGACTCAGGCCTTGGCAACACTTGCGAGTTACAGCGCAATAAAGGAGCCCCGGGCGCACTAGCTCACGACCCGTCCACACTGGCAAGGCACGTAGAGTGCTCTGACTCCGCGGCTACAGTGCTGCTGGTACTCCACCTTGGCGAGTGGAATAACATTTGCTGCGCCCCCGCTGGAGCGCCGCGGCGCCAGTGTGGACGCCCTGGTCCTATAGTGCGCTCTGATCGGCCCCCAGTAGTGTCCCCCAATGCCTGTGCTAGCCACTCTGGTCATCACTTTGAACTCTATTGCCCTGCCCTCAGGTGACCAACTGTCAGACCCGCACTTTAAATTCTCTGGGAATTTTGAAAAATCCCTTCCTGTTTGCTCAGCCAGGCGTGAAGTGCTCTCAGCGAATCTTTCCAGGTGACTATGCCTCCACGAACCAGGCGAGCCCCAGTATGGAGCAATGGCGAATTGCTGGACCTCATCAGTGTTTGCGGGGAGGAAGCTGTCCAGTCCCAGCTGTGCTCCAGCCATAGGAATTACGATACCTTCGGGCAGATATCAAAGGACATGACCGGGATGCACTGCAGTGCAGGATTAAAGTGAAGGAGCTGCAGAACGCCTACCACAAAGTCTGCGAGGCAAACCGCCACTCTGGTGCTGCCCCCGCGACCAGCTGTTTCTATAAAGAGCTGGACGCGATACTTGGGGGTCACCCCACCTCCACTCCGGGGACCACCATGGACACTTCAGAGCCCAGTGCAACAAGGCAGGAGGAGGAGGAGCAAAGCAGGAGCGAGGGTGCTGAGGCGGAGGAAGACACCCCGGAATCCCTAGATGCATGCAGCTAGGAGCTGTTCTCAAGCCAGGAGGAAGGTAGCCAGTTGCGGCGGCCGGTGCTTGGCGAAGGACAAACACCAGAGGAGGTTCCCGGTAAGCGGCTTTTATTTTGGGAAGGAAGCTATTCGCTGCGGGCTCTTGGGGCGAGGAGGCTCTTGCATGCCTAAATGCGGATTAGGGCATTGATGTGTTCTCTCACATCGCAGTAATCGGCCTCAGTGATCTCTTCAAAGGTTTCATCCAGAACTTGGGCAATGCGCTTGCACAGGTTTCTCGGGAGAGCCACTGTGGTCCTTGTCCCAGTCAGGCTAATTGAGGGGCAGGGGGACCATTGCTGCACACAGGCAAGCTGCATATGGGCCAGGGCAGAAGCCACGTTGCAGTAGAAGACCTCCCTTGCTTCCTAGGTAACCCTCAGCAGCGAGATATCTTCTAGGACGAACTCCTGTGGAAGATGTGGGGACAATGTTCAGTATAGGGGCCCCCTGCCGCTGTTGGCTCTCCCTTAGGCACAGAAACCCAGAGGGCAGTACAGCCGTGAAACAATCAGTCACGCTTGACACTGTGCTTACTCACCATTTTGGGGCTCCCGTGGGTTGTGCACACTCGCTTTGGGATGGGCAAATTATGCTATTGTGTAGACTGTGCTTGCCCTTAAGTACGGGGGAATCATTGCTCTGTCTGGTGTGAACAATGCTGCCTCTGTTAAGTGTTGCATTTTGCCTTTACAGATGCAACCCTGAGATCTCAGCCGCCCATGTTATCACCGGCCGAAAGACTCCAAAGAATCGGAAAGAGACCTCATAGAAGCAAGGAAGACATGTTGCATGAAGTAATGCAGCATTCAAGTAATGAAAATCAAGAAGTGCAGGAGTGGCAGGAGAGTGAAAGGAGGGTCCACCAGCAGAATGCGAATTGCCAGCACCAAAGCATGGAGCGCCAAGCGGACTCGATACAGGCGCTCATAGCAATGCAGGCGGAGCACTCCCGCCCCCGCAGCCCTTGTCCCAAAACTCTTTCCCTTATGCCCCCATGTCACCTCCAACCCACTTCCCCAACATCCGGGTTCTTACCGCCACCAGCTGCCTCCAACACCTGTAGCTTCACCACCCTGCCCTGAAAACTACGACTCTTACCCACTGCACTCAATCCCCATCACCATGCAGTATAGCCATCCTGAAGTGCAGCACTCATTGCACAGCACTCCAGACAGGACATACACAAATCTGTGATTGTACCGCTCCCCACCCCCTTGCCCTTTCTGTTTCCCAAGCAGTTGTGTTTCTTTTCAATAAATGAATTTTCTTTTCAATGGATTTTTTGGCTTTGAAAACATTCTTTATTATTGTATAAAGTAAAAGATATCTTAGCCCAGGAAAGATACAGGCACTGCAAGTCAGTGTAGCAAACAAGCAAACAGATTCCTACTAACATTGGAACCACTGCACTTCACTCCCGTGCAGGGCACCAGCATTACTGGTGGCTTTCAGCCTCAAATTTCTCCTTCCAGGCATCCCTAATCGTTGCAGCCCCACGCTGGGCCCCTCTAATAGCCCTGCTCTCTGGCTGTTCAAATTCAGCCTCCAGGTGTTGAACCTCCGAGTTCCATACCTGAGTGAATCTTTCACCCTTCCCTTTCCAAATGTTATGGAGGGTACAGCACGCAGATATAACTGCGGGGATGCTGTCATCGGCCAGGTCCAGCTTCCCATACAGAGAGCGCCAGCGGCTCTTTAAACGGCCAAAAGCACACTCCACAGTCATTCTGCACGGGCTCAGCTTGTTGTTGAACCACTCCTTGCTGCTGTCAAGGCTCCCTGTGTAGGGTTTCATGAGCCACAGCATTAAAGGGTAAGCGGGGTCTCCAAGGATCACAATGGGCATTTCGACTTCTCCTACTGTGATCTTCTGGTCTGGGAAAAAAGTCCCGGCTTGCAGCTTTCTGAACAGGCCAGTGTTCCGAAAGATGCATGCGTCATGCACCT